GTGTGTGTGTGTGTGTGTGTGTGTGTGTGTGTGTGTGTGTGTGTGTGGATGACTCACCCTGCACATCACTGCACAGATGAGACTAGAAGGATGTAGTTCTGTACTGTTACTGTAGCTACTTTAGATAAGAAGCTTATTTTGGTCAACTTGACTTAAATATTTCCTGTCAAAATATTAAACACAAAAAAATGAATAAATGAGGCACAAAAAAATGTGATGACAATGAGGAATATAATATAAAAGCCATGTTTATTAGTCTCAACTGAGGTTATTGCCTAATTGCCTAATGTAGTCTTACTGATCGCTCTATTTGGGCTCCACCCTTTGGTTCCTGTATTTGCCCATAACGTCTCTCCTCTTTCTGTCTCTCCGTATTTTCCAGATGTACCACTCTGACCACGGTGTTGACTTCCATGACCTCTCCTTCCAAATCCCTGGCAGCGCTGCAGAGCTGGGCCCGGCACACAGAGAGTGAACTCAACTCCCAACAAACCACACATCCACCGTCCCCCTTCACCCACACAGGGCCTCCCTCTACTCCAGTCCCTCCCTCCGGATCATGGACAGCCCTCCTAAGCTGTCAGGCGAGACCCTGATCGTGCATCACATCCCCCTGGTGCACTGCCAGGTGTCCGGCGTGCGGCAGGGTGGCTGCGGGATCTCGCTGAAGAGGGGCAACCCGTTCATCCCACCGGAGAACCTGGGCTTGAGTCGCACCACATCCCTCCCCGAGAGAGACGTCCTTCAGAGAGAGGCTCTGCTCTACAGCAGCCTGATCCAGACCTCCAGCGGCTCCTGGACCTCCACAAAAGGGGGGAGGAGAGAGAGGAAGGTCGGCGGGAGGGGAGGCAGCACGGCAAGTGACGACTCATCGTTTACCTCGAGCAATTCAGAGGACCAGCTGATTACTGCTCACACGTTGCCCAGAGCCAAACCGAGGAACAGGAATCCGTTGCGTCATAATCCATTCCTGCTGAATACCGAGGACGAGGATGAAGAAGAAGAAGAGGAGGAGGATGGCGACAACCTCAGTGGTTACCTTGAGGACTCCTCTTTTCACCTCCACAGTGACACTAACTCCGCCCTCAACGACGGGATGGCTCCTTTCCACTTACACGACCTTGGCTTTGCCTCTGAGCCCTTCCTTTTGCACCGGTCGGTGGGCGGGAGCCGTCGGGAGTCCCTGAGGGCGGCGGCCTCCAATCTCTCCGCCCACCTGGAGGACCTGGACATCCTGGGACTGGACAGCCAGCTGCGCCTCGGCAGCAGCGGCTCCAACATGTCCATGGACTGCGGAGAGCAGGACTGGGGCGATGACGACGGAGAAGACGAGGACCACCCCATGAGGTGCGGGCGAAGCTCCTCCAGCTGCTGCACGCAGCACTGCTTCTGCTGCGCGCTCTCCCAGAACTACCCGCAGCACTTCCCCGAAGCCTTCTCGGAGCCCTTCTCGGAGTGCCAGCAGGGCTACGGCAGCGACTCCTCTTGCAACAGCTCGGACGGCGTGCTGGTGAACTTCAGCGCCATTTACAACAAGATGAACAACAGTATACCGGAGAAGCCACCGGCCTCCGGGCACACCAACCTCAACAGCTCCACCGACCACTCCCGCACCTCGTCTGTTTCTGATCCACCGGGAAACAAGCGAGACTCCACAGGAGGGGCTTTCTATCTGGACCTTCACACCTCCCCGACTGAACCTCCCCTATCGCAGCAACAGCCCTCCTGCCTCGGCAGCGCCTTCCCTCTCATCCGTGAGCCGCACCTGTCCACCTCCTCCACCTGTTCGTGCGCCGTGGAGCACCAGGGGGCTCTCGACCTCGACGCCAACTGCAACTCCTACCACCCTCCGCACTCTGGGTCGTCCGGAGACCTCGCTTCCTGTCTGCAGAGTGAGGCCCGCCTGGTCGTCGCCACCCAGAACTACTACAAGCTGGTCACCTGCGACCTGTCGTCCCAGTCGTCCCCGAGCCCCGCGGGCTCCTCAGTCAATAGCTGCTCCGACGAGCACAGCAAAGGCAGCCCCACCCCGACCCAGCCCAATGAGTACTTCCTGTTCAGGCAGAGAGCTGGTGAGGAGGGTGTGGAAGAAGAGGACGAAGATGGAGAGTCGTCTAGGGTGAGTGGAGAATCCTAGCTCACTAGTTTTAACAATTTAATATCAAGTCAACAGGATATTTAATGGGGTCCACAAGTGGGATGTTCACAAACTGGGTAATGTTATGTGTACCACACTTACTTAATTTACTGTAATTGTGGCATAAATAGACACTAAATGGTATGGAATAAATTACGTTACATTTATTTATACCCAAGAATCCCTGTGACAATGACAAAAAGAACCCTGATCTTAAAATAGCCACGACACTGGTATTAGTCGGTCTCATTGAGATCACAGCCACTGTCTGGGGTCATCTGATAGTCTGAGGATTATTCTAGTCATGTAGAGCTGAAGGATATTAATGCCAGGCAGTAACTGAGCCACTGTGTCAAATCTAGCTCCAGGGTAGTTCAGGACTTTGATTCGCTGTTGTCCTAAAGACTTTTTTTAAAGGTTTTTTTTTTTGGGGGGTTGCCTTTATTGTATAGACAGAAAATAGACAGGAAGTGGGGAGAGAGAGGGGACGACATGCAATAAAGGGCCTCAGGTCGGATTCAAATAACAATTTGGCAGATGCCGATGTTGTTGTTGTTGTTTATTCGTTTTTGTTGTTAGTTATTCCCCCTTATCTTAATTATAAAAAAAAAACATAACTGTACTGTTGAACATAAAATTAATGCGACACAACAGAAACATACCGGCCACTGCCATCGGTGGATGTCATCTTATTCGCTGATGGGCCGATAGCAGTCAACAAGGCAAATACGGGCCGATAGCTGTCAACAAGGCAAATACGGGCCGATAGCAGTCAACAAGGCAAATACGGGCCGATAGCTGTCAACAAGGCAAATACGGGCCGATAGCAGTCAACAAGGCAAATATGGGCCGATAGCAGTCAACAAGGCAAATACGGGCCGATAGCAGTCAACAAGGCAAATACCGGCCAATAGCAGTCAACAAGGCAAATACAGGCCGATAGCTGTCAACAAGGCAAATACGGGCCGATAGCAGTCAACAAGGCAAATACGGGCCGATAGCTGTCAACAAGGCAAATACGGGCTGATACCGATGAGTAATCTGACCTCTAAACCATGGCTAGTAATCTGTTTTATCTGATCAACTGTAGGAGAAAATCTGACTGTTGTCTGTTTCTTATCCCTCCTCATTCAGCGTGATGATGATGGTGGTGATGATGAGGATGACGAAGAGGACGAGGAGGACGAGAAGAAGAACCAGCAGGTGGCCGTTGGAGCCGACGGTGCTCCTGCCGTGATTGAAGGCCAGGTCTATGTCAACGTCTCCCCTCCTGTGGTCGTCCGCGGTGCGATCGGAGCCTCCTCGGGAAGCCGCCCCCGCTCTCGCAGCTACGACCGCAACCTGGACAAGTCTCCGCCCCCCCGGCTCGGATCTCTTGAGCGCATGTTGAGCTGCCCCGTCCGGCTCAGCGAGGGCGCCGCCCCGACACCGCCCCCTCCTCCGCGAGTCACCTCCTTCGCGGAGATCGCGAGGAGCAAGCGGAGAAACGGAGGCTCGGGGGGTTCGCCGTCGCAGAAGGCAGCTGCAGACGCTTTCTCCTTCACTTACTCCACCCAATCCCACTCCTCTCTGGAGTTCTCTCCGATCCTGGAGCAGCGTTCAGAGATCGACTGTCAGAGCCTGTCGCCTGTACCCTTCACCAGATGTTACAGTCAAGGCAGCGCGGAGCGACACCTGGAGGGGGCGAGGGAGACCCGGGCCAGGGCTGAAGGTACGTTACCTCTCACTAGATGTAGTTACTTAGTGGTTTATTTAACAGGGACATTGCACAGTGATAAATAACGCTTTAGACAGTTGTCTAAGGTGTTCCGGGCATCAGCAACATTAGCATTAAGTCATATATTAACTATTTTTTTGCTCTTCTTTGGTCTCCATCAACTACTGAGGAAAGAAATTGTCTCTTTAGCTTTTAAATACAAAGGTTTTAGTGGAGATGCACGTGTTTGTAAAGTAGTAAGCATGCGACTGGATACACGGGACTTGGATTATACTCCGGGAGTCAGGTGAGAGTTTGTCAACGGATGTTTTTGTATAGTTTTGCTGTTGAGACATGCAAGAAAAGTTTTCTTTAAGAATTCAAGGTAACACTGGGTGAGCTATTGATATACAAAAGATCATTTTTGTGGGTGAGCTTTTCCTCCAAAGCGCCACTTTAAAAGTAAAAGCTGCACAATCTGTTAGAAAACATCAAAATTTGTCGATCAGTGATTTCACTGCAATCGACTTGTCTAATCAATAATTGACTTTAATTGACACCCTTCTCTTATTTAAAGTATTGTGGAGGAAAGATACGTCTCATCACCTCTTCTTCGCTGAATTTGTCCTCATATGGTTGTTGAACATTGCTGATTTGAGAGGGAGAGTAGCAAAGATGAAGAATATTGATTCTGAGGAACACTGCTGATTCATTTAAAATATGCTAAGTATATCAAAATGTCATTATTCCTTTTCAATGGTTAACTAATGCTGACATCATCATTCTAACATACTGCATAGACTTACTTTATACAGGCAGCAGATCATAATATTGCACAAAAAGAAAAAAAACAGTATGTTGAATAGAAGTCTTCATCGCGTCATTCAGACGTAGACAAACATCTCCACAATAAAAGTTTTTGTTTGAGTGTTTGTTCGCTTTTTGGATATTCGGTGAGACGTATCTGTGGTGGTATGAAGTGCTTTTGGTTTTGTTTGTTTCTGCGTGTTCAGCCTTCCTTCGTGTGTGTGTGAGAGAAAATCCCCTCGTGCCAGCATGTATGGATGTGCAGCAGAGTGTGTATGCTCAGCTTTAGCAGGTCTGAAGGGTTGAAGTGGGACAGACGTGCTCTGAATAACAATCAGGTGAGAGAGGAGAGAAAGGTGCAGAGAAACCCCCCTCTGAGCTCCACGTCAGTGTACGGAGCTGTGTGTGGGGCGGCTGTGTTTATGTGTGTGTGTGTGTGTGTGTGTGTGTGTGTGTGTTTGTGTGTGTGTGTGTGTGTGTGTGTGTGTGTGTGTGTGTTTTATTCTCATCCAGAGAGCCTGTAGGGAAGGTTGGAGAAAGTTACAGAAGTGTATCTTCATGCTGGCGGTGCTTCGGCGCTTTGACTTTCATGATTGACCTCATTCTGGTTAAAAAGCATCCATTTGTATCATTTTATTCTTTCCCAAAGTGAGGAAATCTGTGAATTGAGCATCTGTGCCCCTAGATCTTGCCGTTTGCACTAGACTGCCTGGGTGGGCGGCTTTTGAGATGATTCAGCATGTTGAATCGGCCTCAGATTGGCTGCTCAGTTTAAACTCATCAGTGTTTGAGAGGAGAAACGGAAGTTTAGGAAAGCAGGCAAACGATTTAAATCATCTCCATCTCAGCTGATCATTCCAACACACACATATTTCCACAGCTAAGTGGTGTGAAAAGGGTCTGCGAGCGCTGCTTTGTTTCGTGTTTGTATCATCATATCAGACGCGGGCGATGTGAGGCGATGATGTTAGTTCGGGCCTCTAAATGCAGCATGGGGACCAGCAGCAGCTGCCATTGTTTGTGTGTGAGGATGTAATTAATTACTGTTAGCACAGTTGAAATATGCAGAGGAGTCAGTTAGTGGCAGCAGAAGAGAGCAGTCGGTCATAATAAAGCAAGGAAAGTTATTATAATTTTGTGACTCCGTATTGCTGCTTGGTCTAAATTCATGAATGCTGCTCGTCCTGGAAAAAAGGTAAACAGGAAGTGTTTTTGATGTCCAGTTTGTCTGTAATATGTAGAAGTTAGCTGTACAAATACATGGAAGAAGTACAGAGTAGTTGAATGTGTTCATCTTAAAATCAAATACTGGAAGTCGAGTTGTTGAAGCTGAGTCTCAGCTGCCTGCTGTGTGTGTGCGTCTGGGTAGACGAACACAAACTGGGAGTGCTTGGAATTCCTCTGGAATAAGAGCAGGGAGAGGAATGTCCCAGGAGGCTCCAGCTGTCCTCGTTTACACTTTGACACAGGCTGGAGCTCCCAAAATCATCCCAGGAACATTTCAACACAGAGAATTCTCTATTTTATATACAATATTTGGACAAATCTACTTAAAACGAGAAGAGTTGGTGTCGGCCTCAGCAGTAGGTTTAAGTGTCGTTTCTGGTCCCGATCACCTGAACTGAGCTGCATTATAAATCTGCCTTTTTCCTTTCACGCCCCAGAAGCATAAAGTTCAGTCTAGTCATGACTTCTCCCTTAAAAAGCATCACATAAGAAGTAAGCCATCCTGCCCTCGGGTCACCATTACCAGCCTCCACCAGCTTCATTTACACTGGGTGTATGCTGTAGGTTGTGGAGTGGTTGTTTTATTCTCTTCCAAGTGCTGTAACTCAAGCACTGAATGAACACAGTATATACAGGATGGACTATATGTAGGTCAGTATGCAGGAATATAAGGATGCATTCTTAAGCTGCTCATGGAAAAAAAACGTCAACTTAACCCTTTCAACTCCTGCAATTGATTTATTTCATGTTTAGCAGCTGCCTCCTGCTGCAGATTGCATTTCTACCCACAGTGCACCAGTTTCAATAGAGCGCCTGCTTTGAACCGTTCAATGGTGTCTTGTCAGTTGACTGGAGCAGAAACTGATAATGTGGATGATAAAGACATTTGCCTGTAAAACATCCTCTTCAGTTTCTGACACCGTCTTCATTGAGACCGTGATGATTCCAGATCATAACGACTCGCTGTGCAGCGCCTCCGCACATATATTATTCATCAGACTTCAGCTGCGTCGCTTCATCCGCAGCAAGCAGCTCCCTCGCTAATGATGCTAACATGAAGCCTCGGCTGTCTGTGACGGATTCATCAAGGGAGCTGAGGAGAAAGAGAGGAGGCAGGGAAGATGAAGAAGATGGAAAAGGGAGCAAGGAGAGGTGGGTGTGGGGAGGAAAAGAGAGGAACAGGGTGGGGGGAAAGAAATGGCAATTAGAGGGATGACGGAGCAAGAGAGTCGGAGAGTGTTTCCATCCTCCATCCCCAGTGTGAGCTAAGGCCTGCTGGGTGTGTGGTGTTCCTCCCTCTTCCCTCCTCCCTCCTCCCTCCTCGTGGTGTTCCTCCAGCAGCTCGACATCGCCCTCTGTGGCCGAGAGACGTCACTGCACCCGGCTCAGGCGGCACCGGTGGGCCAGCCTTTAGGGCGACAAAACAGCTTGCGCAATGTCTTCGACGTCACGCGCTCTCTGCTATCTGTCCTCCACTGCACTGGATCGAGGAACACACACACACATACACACACACACAGTAAAACACACACACACATTGACAGAGAACAAGTGCAGGAAAAAAGGCTTCTCCTCGCCGGTGTCCCTCCTGACGCAGGGCCTTCAGGTTTAGTCTATATGTGTGTGTTTTTATGTGTTTGTGTGTGTGTGCGTGTGTGTGTGTGTGTGTGTGTGTGTGTGTGCACATTGGCCTGTCAGAGCAGTGTTGATCTGTGGCATGGTTGTCTGTGATACAGGCTGTTGTGACTCATGACGGGGCAGTTTTCTGTGTTGGTCTTTGTATTTGTTTTTAGTTCTAGCCTCCATGTTCATACAGTTAAGTTAACAGTTAATGATTTCATAGTTTATTCACCGGTTCCTACTTTATATCACTGTAAAGAGTAAATACCTTTCGGTTTTAGACTTTTGGTTGGAAGAAAGCAATTTGAAGATGTCAACTTGCATTTTGGGAAATTGTGAAGCGGATATTTTTGACCATTTTCCTGACAATATAAACACGAAACGATTAATCAGTGTTTAGTTATTATTGTATTATTGTATTTCTAATAATCTTATTGTTTTTATTCTTATTATTTATATTGTTGATATCGTTATTATTTTATCATTATTATTATTTTGTTGGTACTTTTTATTAGTATCATCATTATTATTTTAGTATTATTATTAGTAGTATTTTTATCATTATTAGAGTCATAGGCGTTATTTTACTTTTACCAGTATTATCATTTATTCTTACACTACTATCATTATTATGACTTTACTGATATTGTTATTATTGAATCCTACCTTCTGGAAGGTTTATTTATTTATTTGTCGCTGTCAGATTAAAGGGATTCAGTTATTTTTTTCTCTCTTCTCTCTCCATGTGACTCCTCCATCTTTTCTCCTTCCCCGCCGTCCCTCTTGTTCTCATCCAGGTGGCCTCTCCAGTTCCTCAGACAGCCGCCCGGCAGTGTTCCGCTACAGTAAGGACCAGCGGCCCACCACCCTCCCCATCCAGCCCTTCACCTTCCACCACCAGTTCGCCTCCAAACCCCCACAGCCCAAGCCTCTGCTGCCCCTGCTCACAGGCTACGTCTCTGGGATGCAGGCCCGCTCTGGCTCCGGCTCCGGCACTGGCTCCGGCTCTGGAGATCCTGTGGGGGAGGACAGTGAAGATGCAGCTGAAAATGTGCACAGGTACCAGGGGGCTCTGGCTGCAGCAGCAGCCCCTCCGCCTGGATCGGTTCGACCCTCACCTCTCGGGAGCTACTCCCCGGTGCGGCTGCATGAGGCGCCCAGCTCCGGGACCTGCTCCACCTGCACCCCGAGCCCTCAGCCGCAACACAGCCTCTCCTGCCCGCTTTCGGCGGGCCTCGGCCCCCTGCGCTCCCCACCGACGGGAAAGCAGGGAGGGGGTTCGGTGTCGTTACCGCCAACCACTCCACCTCCATCCCTGGGCGTGAAGAGAGGGACGGTGCCGCCGATGCTGCCGGCGGTGCAGGGCCACTGTTTCCATCATGGAGCTCTGCCCAGTTTGCCGGCTCTCCACACTGACTCGCTGAGCCCTCTGGGCTGTGTGGAGTCTGGAAAACACGTGGAGGGAAGCACAGCACCCGGAGCCAGAACTCATAACGGTAGGTTCTAAATGTGTGTCCTTCAAGTATTACTCAGAGGATGTTCTCACGAGAAGATGCTGCTGCTTTTAAAGAAAACAAAGGTTGAAATCCTAAAATTCAGACATAAAGGATCAGCAACATTGACGTTGAGATATTTAGTTACGTGGCTTGATCATAAGGTTATTAAAAACACAACAAATCAAACTTCAAAACTTTTCAAGTGTACATGAAATATCATGTACACGTTTCACAAGTTCCAGTATACTTTTACCACTGGATTTTTCTTTACTGTTGTTCCACCTTTTTCTTTCAACTTTATAACTGCGGCCATCTTTCCTGTTTTGGTCCTCTTTAATCGCTGCACATTTTCTTTCATGCAACTATCAGCCTCTTTACATTAAAAGTAAACTCTCCACGTGTTTGTACATGGACGATCAGATAAAAGAATGAAAAACCTCATCTGCACTCGCTAGCTTGGTTGTCAGTTCTGTGACAGTTCTGTGTAATTCAGTGTTGCTGAGCTCTTGTACATTCTTACTGTTGTCTCTTTTCTCTTTCTTCTCTCCCTTCATGCATGGACTTAAATCTCCTCCTTCACCTTTTCCCCCACCTGCCCTTCTTCTTCCTCCTCCTCTTTCCTCCCACATATTCTTTTTATCCATCTACTCAATAATCCATCCTTTAACCACCGACCCCTTTGATCACGACCATAACTCCTCCCCCTCAGCGCACCACCTCTCCCCCCAGGCTCTCAAGTGGAGGGAGTACCGCCGTCGAAACCCTCTGGGACTGGAGAGGGCCTCGGCGGGCCACTCTTCCGCTGGATCGGGCTCCCTCTCTGGTAACCCGGAACCCAGGAGGGGCGGGGGACCGCGACCCGCCAGACGGAACGTGTTCGATTTCCCTTCGGCCCCCTCCGTCCACGCGCTGGGACGCCTCAACGGTGCTCATGATTTTACTGACAGTGTTGGAAGGAATGCAGGATTATGACCATAGGCTTGAATACTTGGTATTTTCTGTAGTTTTTTTTAAGGAGTTCGAGGTGCAAAGAAAGCATTCTTAAGGATCCCTAACGACGTCTCGTGCTTTTAAAAAGTGTGTTTATATGTGTGGCTGACCGTCTGTGTTTGTGTGTCCCAGCAGCGAGCCAATCAGCTAAGCTGCAGCAGATCTACAGCGACTTCCTGCCGGACTACTTCTCTATGACCGAGAAGCCTCCCGAGGAGTTCTGCCTCTCCCCCGACGCGTCCACCTCCTCCCCCTCCTGCAGCTCCTCCTCACAGTCCCACATCTCTGTGGACCTGACGCTTAAGAGAGGTGAGGATCTGATCGACAGTGACAGCGAGGTGTCTCTGAGTATTTAACAGCCACATGACTAAATGTCAACTGTAGGCCGTGTTCCTCGAGCTCATTGCGTTCGTTCGCCGCTGTCTCTGAGTTTTGATGCAGCTTCTTTTTGCCCGTGTGAACTTATCCAGGATCCTTTTTAGGAACTCAGGAACTTAATAACTTTATTATGTGAAATTTAGTACAGAAAACTAGTTCCAATTTTATTCCCTGCTTCAAAAAAGGTTCTGAGTTTGACAGTACTGAACTCTACTGATTATTCAAACACAAGCTTCTATATTGGAGCACGTGTGCAGCGTTCATTCAGACTGAACTGGTTGTAGATATTATGAGATTTATTTTGTAATATAATTGATATCTAAACAACGTCATGGAGCTGACATTCATGGAAGTCAAAAATAGATAAAGATAGATGGATTTAATAAAACAAATCTCATCACATCATCTCACTTTGTGTCTCTGAGGCGGCTCTACTCAGCGGAGGGAGTTCCTCTACGCTGCACTACAAGAATTTTTAGAATCGTGCACAGCATGCAGCGTTGAGAGGCAGAACAGGGAGAGAAGTGTTGTTTTTGAAAGGTGCTTAAGTGCCTCTCACTGCAGAAAGGCCTCTTGACAGTGTGTGTGTGTGTGTGTGTGTGTGGGGGTGGTATAATGAGCAGCGAGATCATCCTTCAGCTGGATCATCCAGCTTTACGTCCCTAAACGGACCGACATCTACGCTGCTGAAGTGCTTTTGAGCAGGACCTCGTGTCATGATCATTAGTATGATTGCATGAGTAAAGCTAAAATACTATTGGCTCACGGGGAGTTGGATTTTGTCTTTGTACATTTCTTTTCACGGGGATTTCGACATCAGTACATTTGGTGGTTTTCTGAGCAGACTGATGGCAGAAACAGCTGATCATTGCACAGATAGTTGCTCTAAATCAAACAATGAATTCATGCTGCTTTCAAGCACAACGTCAGTGAGGGACACAGAGAAATGTGTTCTAAATCTGGATCTTAAGGGTAAAACAGAGAAACCAAATAATGGATTTAGTAGAATATTTCAAAGAAGAGAAGACACTTGTATAAGTGTAAGTGACATTCACTGCAAAGACACTGTTTACTTGTAGCCGAAAAGGACAATCAAGAAACTCTCTCTTTATTCTTTCCTCCTTGAACTCCTTCAGGTTTGGTGAAAGCCGTGAACACGGCAGTGGATCTGATCGTGGCACACTTCGGCACCAGTCGGGACTCTGACGTAAAGGTGGGAGTTTTTGGTTTGATGACTACGATTGAAATGCTTGGACGGGCTTATTATGGTCCTGACAGCTGATTCTTTTCTTGATTGCTGTCATAATGTAATGAGAATTTAAACAAATCTAATGTTTCTAAAATACAATAGCCGCCCTGGCTTTAAGTTTACAGCACATACACCATGGAACCACCACCACAAACATTTTTGAGGAATTGAATTGGTCTCTTGTGAGTCTTCCCTTCATCGACAGCTTCTATCAGGAAACTGAATTTCTGTCACATGATGTGTTTATCTGCTCAGAGCTGATAAGACTGGAAACAAAAGGGCAGCAGCCTATCACCAGTCATTCATTGATTGAAGACTTGAGCAAACAGATGTTGTGTTTACTTTCTCTTTCTTTTCTATGACTGTACACTCACATAACATTGTACTTATCTACACAAACAAACGCCGCTTTGGCAAACAAAAAGGACCAGAAGTTTTGCGTCCTTCTGTATTTCTGCCTCCCAAATTCCCTGATTAGTTCCACTTTCATTTCCTTTATGCACTAATGTTTCTCTGCAGGCCAAGCTGGGGAACAGCTGGGTGAGTCCCAACGTGGGCCACCTCATCCTGAAGTACCTGTGCCCGGCCCTGCACGAGGTGCTGCAGGACGGCCTGAAGGCCTACGTGCTGGACCTGATCATCGGTCAGCGGCGTTGTCAGCCCTGGAGCCTGGTGGAGGCCTCCACACAGCTGGGTGAGAACCTCACGCTGAGGGGAAGTTAAAACGGCTGCAACGATCAGTATCGGCTCCATGCTAAGTGCAGGTTTAAATAAATAACATCAGGACCTGCAGAATCCACAGGAGAGAGATCATTATCGTTTTCCATAACCCGCCTGCCTTTAGATATAAGCCACAACATGGCTGTTTGGTTGTAAGTTATACGTAATAGCTTATTGTTTCACATTTAAAAGAGTTTGCTGAACATAAGAGCTGTAAGGAAACAGATTTTCAGACATGGCAGATGCATCATATTGGAGAAGAACTTTTCAAATGTAATGTTTGCAGCATTTAGTTTGAACAATAAGGTGCTTGTGGGTAACATACAACACTTTATGTTTTGTCTCCGTCAGGTCCGTCCACTCGTCTTCTCCACAGCTTGTTCTCAAAGGTGAGCCAGTACTCGGAGCTCACAAGCCACAGCATGAGGCTCAACGCCTTCATCTTCGGCCTGCTCAAGTGAGTCCTTTTCTTTTAATTACTGTCATTGTCAACAATGGTTTTCATCCGGGGGGGGGGTTAGGGTCTTTAAGGAGGCTTCAGTCAATACATTTATGATACTGTGTCAATTGAAAATATTGTGATGTTTTTATGCAGCTGCTCATCTTTACACAGCTTCATAATGAGTTTCTGTCTCTGACTGCAGCTTCGCTATTTTAGTTCACTCTCATCGTTTCTTACGTTTCAGCCTGAAATCTTTGGAGTTCTGGTTCAATCACCTCTACACACATGAAGGTGAGACTCAGTTGGTATCATTTATCTTCAGATACCCAGATATTTATTTGATGTCCATATGTGCATGTAGTCTTCTTCTGAATCTTGTGGCTTTGTTTTTCTTTCCTCAGACATTGTAGCAGCACACTACAGCCCGTGGGGTTTCCTCCCCCTGTCACAGGGGGCGTGCCAGCCGCTCTTCGAGGAGCTCCTCCTCCTGCTGCAGCCACTGTCGCTCCTCCCATTTGACCTGGACCTGCTGTTCGAACCGCACCTCCTCCAAAAGGGCCAGGAGCATCTCCGCCGCAAGGAGCAGCTGTGCTCTGCAGGCCAGAGCGTCGACCAGTCGACTCGCTCCACCTTCCAGCTCATGAGGGGCTGGAGCACCACCGTGAGCGAGATGGTCAGAGACTCCGGTGCGGAGGCGAGGAGAGAGAGGCCAGGCCTGAGGCGAGAGGGAACGTGGCCGAGGACGGAAGGGGTCGGCTCGAGAGCAGAGGGAGCCGGAGCGAAACCAAGGTTGAGGACCAAGGGGGGGACAACCGAGAGCATGACGGCCGGGACTGTTAGCGGGCCAGCAACGATGGAGGTCGGGTTTGCCAATCTGTGGAAGGAGAGGGGGATGAGCGGGCAGAGAATGAAAGGCGTGGGACAGGAGAGCCAAGGAGACGGGGAGGATGGAGAGGAGAAGGACAGGAAGAAGGAGAAAGAGAAGGATGTGGCGGAGGAGGGGCGTCAGCGGCAGGAGAGACAGGCGGGCTGGTGGTACCAGCTCATGCAGTCCTCCCAGGTTTACATCGACCAATCAGCGGAGGGGTCAAAGTTTGTTAAGACGGAGAAAAGGAGGAGGTCATCAGAGAGACGACAGAACCAGCTGCCGCCCGCCAGAGAGGGAGTGGTGGAGGGGGCGGAGTCGAGCCAAGAAGGGGAGGGGCATAGAAGCAGGAAAAGCAGCAGCAGCAGCTCCGGCAGGCAGTCAGCCGGATCCAGTGGGAGGCCGTCATGGATGGGCAGCCCGCCAGACTCTGTCCTCAACCAGGAGAAAGAGGCAAAACCTCCGAAGGGTACAGGGACTGGAGCTCAAGCTGCAGCCCAGCAGGAGAGCCCCTCACAGGGGCAGAGTCTGCGCTGGGGCAGGCTCTTTGGATCCAGCATCGGATCTCCTTCAAGAGTGGAGGCAGCTGAACAGAAAGCAAAAGCTCAGAAGACCAGGTGAGTGAAAAAGAAAAGAGTCATAAAAAAACAAAAGAGTCATAAAAAAACAAAACCAACAATGAACTAATCTACTAACAAGCAACGTGTGTGAATCCAAAGCCTGCAAAGTTATCCAACAACTATTAAAGTTGTTGGATAACTTTTTGAGTTAAAAACTGCCCAGCTGTTTTCAGGAATCACTGAGCTGTTTTTTCAGATTTACTTCTTCAGTGGGGACCAGGCGGCAATCTCCAGACAGAAAAAGTGAAGCCAATGCAGAAGTGTCTTACACGGGCATTCTCTATACTGACCACCAGGGGGCGACTCCTCTGGTTGTATAGAAGTCTATGAGAAAATGACTCTACTTCTCTCTTGATTTATTACCTCAGTAAACATTGTAAACATGAGTTTATGGTCTCAATCTCTAGTTTCAAGTCTTCTTCAATACAGCATGATGTTCATTTAGTACATTATGGTCCATTTAGAGTCAAACAGACCATAAAGCAGGGGATGCTTTAGGGCGGGGCTACACAGTGATTGACATGTCTCTACCATGGCGTTGTCCAGTCTGGAAGTTGTCCGTGTTTTCGTTTTACAACTTTAACCTTTTCACAGTGTGTTTACACTTCGTGAAAGCCTGAAAATGTCTTGAACTGAGGCTAACACATTGTCAGTATGGGTCTTTTGGTTGCTGATAATAAAAGATAACGCTGTTTTAAAAATGTCCTCCCTTTCACCAACATGTGTCTACATTGTGTTTTCCTCTCTTAGACCGCCGTCAGGTTGGCTCTCTCTGGACCGGTCCATTCTTGACCTCGTAGCTCAGACATTAGGAACAGGGAGCGGGAAGAAGGAGGAGCCTCCAGCAGCGCCCACTCACACCGAAACCCTGCCTCCACCAACGACAACCCAACCAACTAAAGCCAGACAAAAGTCTTCATGGTAACATAAATTCATCCAATTTTATACTTCAGAAGAGAGCTAAAAGAATGGTCTGTTAAAGTAGTCTTTAAGAACCAATTATTAGCGATTATTAAAAGGATTATCTTATCTTATCTTATTATTAAAATGAGTCACAGTGATTTTCCGTCCGTTCACTAATAGATTTTCTGCGTGTCCTCTGTCGTCCCTTCAGTGAAGTGCGAGCCTTGTGTCACCACATAGCCACCGAGCCCGGCCAGCTGAGCTTCAACAAGGGCGACGTCCTGCGGGTCCTGTGCCGGGCCGACCCCGACTGGCTGCTGTGCTCGCTGGGCTCCGTCCAGGGCCTGGTTCCCATCGTCTACGTCACCCTCAGAAGCATGGAGGACAGCCAGGACGCCGCTGGACTCGGACAGCGTTGAAGAATTATCGGGAGATGAAGGCAAACCGCTGAAACTAAAATAAACTGTTTTTGAGATAACTGCACATTGGGGATGATTCCCGAAGACAAAAAAAACATTGTAGATTATATGAAGATGATGTACAGACACATGCAAGGGAAGCATGCAGGCAGGAACACAAACTCTCACATCTACTTTAAAGGGTACATCCAGACCAGTATGCATGCATACATCCACAAAACCAAAAGACCAGACGAGACAACCCAAAGACACTCCAACACGAGCTTCTCTCTCTGCGCTACTAGCTTCTCTCTGTGACTGTCATCCATCTCTACCTGCGACACAACGAGGAGGTCAAACTTCACTATATGATAATACAACGCGCCGAGCTGCACTTTGCTGTCCTGTCTGTACGTCCACCTCGCTGTGCCACACTCTGAACTCAGCGCTCAGTTATCGCCCGCGGTCTGGTTCAAGTCCTGTTGCTTACTCGGTGCCGATTGATCTTTTAAATTCACGTAGAAACCGGTGAGTCCTCGCTGTTTTTGGTAAGATGTAAAGGCAAAAGAAAAATCGATCCACGTCCGCTCCAGTAGCAGAGATTCAGCATATTATTATTATTATTAGTGGGAGAGTAGAAAACAACACACAGGAGTTTGTTCAGATGGCAAATTTAACTCTGTTTCCATCCTCCACCTGTTTTTAGTTCATTTCTGCTCTTTTAAGTCTGTTTATATGAAGACGAAAGGGAGGGATGAACAGACACCACAGCTGGGATGAATCACAGGCGGATATCACTTAAAGTTACTGTGAGGAACTTTTATCTGGTTCTGAACCAGTCCCAGTGTAGTCCTGATCCTCTATCAGACCTCCATCAGCAAACGAGACCATCAGAGAGAAGATGGTCTGTTTCTATAGAGTTGTTCTTAATGCTCGTCATCGGAGCCACCGGGTCGGATTCTGGTGAAATCAGATGAAATCATGCAGTTTCACCAGAAACTCCTTCAGCTCAGACTCCAGCAGAGACCGGTCCACCGTGGACACACCCAGATCCTCCAGCAGAGACCGGTCCACCGTGGACAGACCCAGATCCGGCTTCACCTGCAGCCTTGGACCTGCAGTCTGGAGCTCCGGAGGAAGCGGGGCAGACTGTCAGACCCTGCTGCAGTAAAATGAGAGGTTTTCTAAAGGGACCCTGGTGCTCGGAAACACTACCACTTTAGTCCACAGGGACCGCCACAATCAACACAACATTAAAGTTCCTCATAGTAGCTTTAAGTGAATGCAACCTGACCCCCCTCAAGCTCTCATCTCAGGACACGTCACGGCTTTCGAAGAATCGAGTGGCTGCAGTCTGAGCTGTACATCTGATCTGATGGCACATACTGTAAATGCATAACCTGACGTACACATGTGGTGAGTTCTATTTATTTATTGACCGGTTCAGTTAGCGGAGGGAAGCGTCTTAACTGGGCGGTGGCAGAAAAAACAGGGAAGGATGTCCAATGAAAGCAAAGCGTAGCCGAGGAGACGTGTGGAGGCCTTTCTGAATGTGTTGGGGGTCCAGTCTGGACAATAATGCTCATTAGTTATATGCATTTAGAGAGAAGTAAATAATCGTAACTATGCCTTAAAACACTCGAGGAAAAAAGGGAGAATTTGCCGCATTGGACACTTTAAGGCGAGTGACCCAATATCTGTGCAGACATATTTTGTATGAAGTGTCTAATGTGACATCTTCCCCAGATTTATGACGACTTCAAAGTGAAGAGACGATATAGAGGTGATATTTTTGTTGAAGATTAAAGGGCAACACGTTTAGTGTTCGTATGTTCGTGTCCAGGTGTAGAATGTGGCCTTAGGCTCAAAATGAGATGACGAAGAACTAAAATTACGGCTATATATACATAATACCTGGATATACGAGTGTACACAGATGCCCAATCAAAATACTACTAGTTTTTGAAAAACTTGCATACATGAATATAATTTTACCGCTTAAAGTTTCTTTTGGTCTGCATTATTGTACAGGTTTCTTTTATTTTTATTTAAATGTATTATTCTAAACATTTAAATTCATCGATTTCATTTTCATAGAACTGTAAATATATTTAAATCCTGTAGAGCTACATGTATGAATGTTAATACAGATTTAATAATGCATTCTTATGTTTAATACAGAGAGCAGGTATATCCTTTAGTTCCAGCGCTGACAGCCGTGATGAGAGTAACAGTAGAGAGGAGGCTGGCATGGGTTGGTGGTCTCTCCAGGCAGTTTGCTGTTCATTGACATCCTGTTCAGAGTTCACAGAGGACGGACAGAAAGCAACAACACAGTCGTAATAAGAACCAGAGAGACGTGGAGGCAAGAGACAGATTCACTTTTCATCTGGCTTTTGATTCGCTGAAATGTGTTGCTTTGAAATGCTCCTCAGAGAGAAGGAGAGAAGTCGCCGCGGTTCCTTCCTTTCTTTCTCTCTCTCTCTCTCTCTCTCTCTCTCTCTCTCTTTCTCTCTCTCGTCGGTCTTTATCTGCTTTCTCTCTCCTTCGCTGCTGCTGCCTCCTCCTGCCTGTAAATACCTTCAGCTCTTCTCTCTGTGTCCACGGCTATATGACGTGTACGTATGACAATATCAAACTACTATGGATGTTAAATAACAAAGTGCTCATGTGATCACAAACTCAAATGGCTCCCGTGTCTTTTTGTCCTTAACGCAGCTGAAGGGAAAAGTTGAAAACGAAGGCTGTAGATTAATGATACAAAGGTTTTAAACTAATTGTGAACTTTGTACACAATCCTTTCTTTGGTCACATTGACTCTCTTCTCGTCAAAGGTGTGAGTTTTACTTCCTATCGAGGTTTCCTGATTGGCTCCTACATCATTCTGTCACCTTCTCACAATACCACTCACCAAGTACATGAAACAAAGGCACGCAGCTTGAAGTTGCAACTAAAGTTTAACAATTTAATAATAATATAATAACATTATTTTTATTGCACAAGGATATAAAGAGCTGCACAATATACAAAAAAAGTCAATAAAATAATAAAAACTAAATAACTAACCATACAAGATAAACAAAATATAGTTACAATGATGAGAACTAAAACAATGATGAAAGGTTTTATATTTATCAAATCCAAGACAGTTTCATCAACCAGCAGCCTTTTCTTTCTTTACTGTTACTGCAGTTCAGAACATGATGTACTGTTGTGTATTAATATACAAATATCATACTACGTACCTACATATTAATTCTACTGGTGAGGAGGATGCAGTTCAGCCACCAGATGGTGCTGATGGTTCAAGAGATGAGCAGGATCCACTGGGAGTTCACTCAATTATAATAATCGGCTCTTTTGCACTGTGCTGATTTATAACAGTGCAGACACACAATGGTAGGCATATTATGTTTTCTTTCTCCTTTATTTGTTGTCTTGCCAGACTGGCTCCACTTCTAAACTCTTGTCTGAGTTGTCTTTAAAAGGTCCTCTTTGTGTTTCGAGCCTCACTGGATCATGTTGACTCAACATCATGAGTAACAAATAGGTTCATTATTTAAGATGTGTCTTTAGCTGTGTGTTGAAACCAACTGAACACTAGTTTAGCTCTAATGATTGCAAACTTCCCAAAGAGGCAAAGCAGAGCTGAGTTTTGACTAAATGTGTAGAGCGGCCTCAAGCTAATTCATGCATTGTTTTAGGAGGTTTGAACATTTCTCTGAATGTTGGCTTCATATCGCCTCAATCAGCAGGAACAGCAGTTACATAAAATGATACATACATTATATTAAAAGGTAAAGAAAAAGTTTTTACTTCTCTGGAGGGTTCTTTCCATAAAGTTCTCAGACACAATCTGAACCTTTTAGTGCCTCAATACTTGACAAATTAAAAAGAAAATCTTGTCAAAGTTGCCATTTATGTGGAAAAAAATGTACTGAAATGAACTTAGAAGATGCAATTTTTAGGGTAAGCCAGGACTCTTCTGAGGTTTCATCAGTTCATCGACAAAAAGGTTTTTCTAAAACCAAGAAGGGTAATAACATCAAAGAGGTGATGAACAGAGGATCTTTTTCTCCATTCATTCATGTGAACCCCCTCACCTTTGTTATCATTCATTCCTGATCATTTCCATTCGACAGGTACGTCTAACTTCCTGGCACTACTTTTTTGGAGTAAACAAGACAGACAATCATTTTGGCACATTCACCGTCGACAAGCGTCTCTGCTAAAAAAACTAAAATGTGAAACGTAATTCTTTATTTATCCAGGACGTGAGGATTAAAAAGTGAATGGGTGACCCTTTCCTTGTTTCCGTGTCAGATTAAAGATCACCTGGATGAATAGGTAGGTTGAAGCGGTGGGAACCTCGAGGTCAGGGAGGTCAGCCTGCTCCTCAACTGACTGAAATCATTTGTTGAGTAACGCATTCAACCCCCACTTGGCTTCCTCACGACACCTCTTCCAAATATCAAGGTTACGTTACACTCAGCAGCCTGTAAATGTGCTTTTATTGAAATTCAACCCACCATTCATGTATTATTGTCCTTTTCTGCATGTTGTGTATACAAATACACGTCAACGCACAATTTTAATGTCTCACGCACTTGAGCTTGCAAAAGGTTTTAAGTTACTTTGAAAGGAGAGTTGTGCAAGTTCACAAAAGATGCCAACTCGGCAGCCTTTCAACCGCCACAAGAGCTCAGACAAATTAGATCTGGATGGATCTTTTATAACATTTTCTTCTTCCAGTTCACTAAATGTTGAGGACTAAGCTCCACCCACCCAACCCAGTTTAAGTATGCAAACTAAATCAGAACTTACAAATGACCATACCATAAAATTTAATACATATATTAATTTGTTCATGACAGAAAGTAGTGTTGAAAGTCAAATCACTGCATAACAATTGTGGCTAGAAAAAGTGTTGAAAGTCAAATATTACTACATTCTACGGCCATGACGAGGCTCTGTTTAGACACGGTGGTGCCCTGAGCTAAGTTCTGGAACAAAGGCCGCGTCTTAAAAAACATCACATTTCTGCACTAAAGTATTTAAGCACACCTGAGCCGTTTTCACATTCCTCCTCCCTCCCAAAACACCTTTAACATTTCTCTCTCCTTTCTCTCCTCCCCAGTCCAAAATCACTCTGTTCCATCCATCCGTCCAGGACTCTGATTCCTCCCCTCATCCCTTCATCCCCCTCATCCCTTCATCCCTTATCCTGCTTCTGGACCCTTTTACTCCTGTCCCACTGACCTCACACTCCCATCCAGCCACTTCCTCCTGCCCTACAATAACCTCTTCATCTCCAGTCTCAATACTCGAACCAGTCGCCTGACCTTCCCCGCCCACCTGCTCCCACTTTCCTCGTCAGCCCTGCAGATATTTAGCCGGACTGTTCCAACACTACACTCACTTGCTAGTTGTCGTGTGCTTTGTAACTTTGCTTCACCCTGACCCTGCATGTAAGTTTCTATGTACCTTCATTTTGGCATTTGCGTTATCAGTTGGATCTTATCCCAGTTGCCTCTCACTCACCCACCATGATATCTACTGAATACATAAGCCACATGCACGATACAATCCCCAAAATCTACATTACTTATGTTATTCAACCTTTTAAACTGTACAGACGTATAGATGTTATGTTGATGTTTAGTTCCCTATGCTCAGATTAAAGTCTGGGCTGATGCTAAGATTTATTAGCATGTCTTCATTATTTCTGAACAAGAAAAAACTGAAATTACAGTAAAGAGCAAAGACAATCGTGAAGAGTTTATCGGGACCTGAATTTTAGATTGTTATCCTATCGTGGTTGTCAAATCTCTGTCATGGCAGCCTGACAAATTACTGAAACGTTGTCCAATAAAAATCATGTTTAGATGTTTGTCAACCTAAACAAACTACACATATAAATAAAACCAATAATTCTTTCCATCTGTGGTGGGATTCAAATAAAAGAAATAGAATAATATGGATCATTTACTAATTTTTACTCCCGACAAAGTGAATGTTGTCGTCGACAAAGAATGATGGACGTGCTCAGGATTTAGAAAACAAGGCTTTATTTTTGAAAAAGGTCAATAATCCCCAAAAAACCCACGTAACAAATTTAAATCCAGAGCTAGTTTAGTGAGCAGTTACACACTCTTAAAAACTTTCACATTTTTGGTCTACTAAAACAGAAACACCATTAAAAAAAATATATATAAAATCCTTCAATTTTCATTGTGACTCAAACACCATTTTATAAAACATAATGGTTAAATAGATAAAGCTCTCTGTAGTCATAGGACTCACTATAATTATTTATTTCATTGGTTCGATCCCTCTTTTCTCCTCCCTGACTCGCGGTGCTCCTCTCCGGCTCCGTTGTTGAAGAGTTCACAGGTCGCCCTCATGTTTACACTCGCTTCACTTTGCTGCAGCGTTCGTGCTGTGGACACACAAATATTTTAGAAACGAAAGCCAATAATAATGTCGTCACTGCTTCAAACTGGAGCTCCTGCCCCTGAGTCATGATCCGGGCTGCTTTAGGCCTCCGTACAACCTCATGACTCAGTCATTCAAAGTCGGCTTCACGGTTAGATGGTTTACAGCACACTTCAACTTAATGAGGCTTGAAACGGACTGAGGTTTTTGTACAAACAAACTATGAAACTCTGATCAGTTGGCTGGTGTGCGTCATGTTTTTAATTCAATTTAGTTTCAATTCTGTCCTACAAGTTTCCAACATTGCAGAAGTCAAGACATCAAACTCTCAGATCTCGCCATGAACTTTTAAAGGAATAGTTTGAGATGGAGAGTTACATTTGAACTTAATTAACTCCATTTAAAACCTTTTATCTGGAGACGCCTTACCTTGTAGTTGTGTTTCTTGCAGAATTGCCCCAGGGTGTCCACGTGCCTCACCACAAGTTGGATCCACGGTTCGTCAGCAGGCACACAGAGTTTCCTGCCACCTTTGGTCAGCAAACTGCAAGAACACCAAAGCATCCGGGTCAGGGCGAGGTACGAGAACTTGCAACGGTTTGAAGTGTATTTGTTCATCCTGCATCACACACACACACACACACACACACACACACACACACACACACACCACCTGAACTTACACTATGGCATCAATAGAGCAGCCATGTCCCCTGATCTGTCGACGGTAATCAACAACCACATGTTTTGGTACTGGTTTGTTTCTGACGCTCAAGCAGCAGTCCATGGGTATCTGAGCCAACGTCACTGAAAGACAGAGAAGATGAGTTCAGCATAACGTGGCTCTCCTCTGCAGACTCAATGAGACACAGTCTACTTCTTCTCAGACCGCAGCTTGAATGCATCATCGATAACAATTAATTACAATAATGACACTTTTGTGTTAACAGACATTTATGAAACCGTAAAAAACTGTTTTCAATGTCGGCATATATTATCACGATGTCCCAAACATTCATCACATCGCCACAATGTGACCAAATACACGCTTCGGTGCGGCGCCATCGCCCTCCTCTAAATGATGACTGCGGAGGCCGGAAGATCCCATGATCCTTTGCTACATTTGTTTTTAATTTGCTGTCTTTTTTTGTTTATTACTAGAGTGTGTGTGTGTGTGTGTGTGTGTGTGTGTGTGTGTGTGTGTGTGTGGCTAAGGATAAATATATTCTAGTAAGAATACAAAAAGTTCTGCCGTGTAAGCAAATGGAAATTCATCCCTCAATAAAGTGTAGAAATGATCTCGAGCCCTCTGGATCTTCACTTCATAAAAGCTTGAGTGGAAAAAAAACAAACGGCTAAAAGGGCTCAAGGGCAATTTATGACTAATCAGGATGTAGTGTCGTCCTCTCAGCCAGTTGCCTCACTGGCTTTTGTCAGCTGACTGGGATTTCCAGCAGTTAAACTTTAACCTACTACAAAGGAAAGGAGCCGAGGAGAGGAGAGGGGAATACCAGCAGCACGCCCTCAACCCAACCTTGCTCTGTTCACTTTGCTCTGGTCATATCAGTGCTGCATAGATGTCAGTACTAAAGTAGATAATTGACTTCACTTAAGTTATTAAATTACTTTTTTTTTTATCATATCTCTACATTGTACTTCATGTCATTCTGTTTTAAAGGGTTTTTAATGGAGCATTTCCTTATCTGGATTAGTAGTTTAATGACTTGTTGCACAGACTGTAAAACTCCCTCAGACACAAAAGTGATTTCAGACAGAAATAAGAAGGAGAACTTAAAGAAATGAGTGAGAGTAAGTTTTTAAGGTGAGGTGAATTTCATAGACAGACTTTAGAGCGAGTCAAACACAGTCAGAGTGTGTATTTACACCTCAAACGTAGGCGCAATGAGAATCTCTATTCCTTTTCCTGCTCACTTTGTAAACCACTACTTTCTCTTTGGAGCCGTTCCAGGTGAGATTTGTTCTGATAGATTACATCCTGTTGTCTTTTTCGCTGACTCATTTCACAAGAGGGAAGATTAAAGGCATCACTGTTACAGTGTGAGGAAAAAATGAAAATAAACTCACCTGTGCAGCAGCAGGTGATGAAGAGGAGGCAGAAGAAGAGCTTGGTGTCACCCCACGATGCCATGTCCGGTCGCTGAGCTGGTTGAGGTCTCTCTGGAAGCTGATTGGCTGAGCCTGTTCTTCCTTTCAGCACCTGCTGTGACAAAGGAGGTGAGGATACTGCCTCTGTGGACTGACTGCTCCTATATATACTCTGAGAAGATGATGTCCACTTGCTTTCATTTTCCATTTCCTCTCCCCCACCTCCTCCTCCTCCTTGTCTCGCCCTCTTGCTCACTCCACTCAGAGTCCATCATGAACTGAGAAGCTCAAACAAGTCAAAACCTCCTTCCTAACCCCCTCCTCCCTCCCTCTCTTGTGTATATTTTACCAGATCTTTCTTCATTTCCCAGCACCCTTCACACCTTCTCCTTTCAAGGTAACAGGAGCAGTTTGTCACACTTTTAGTCAGGCCGCATCCCGGTCTCACTTCTCTAATCTCTAATCTCCAATTCTCTGTAATTTAACCCTCACACAACCATCGGTCCACATCTACACCTCAAAAGAAGCAGCGCAATGGAAATATAATCATCTGACATATGCATTGTAGAAAAGCTTTAAAAAAATAGATAAAATAACCATTATGTTATTTTTATGTGCCCCATGGGAGCATTTGGGAATATTTTATGCTGCTACTCTAAGTATTTAATGAAACAAAACATTGTTTAAAGTGTTTAAAGCTTGCCTTATATGATAAAAAAGTGTTCAGTGCTGGGGTTCTTTTGTAAATCATAAGATAACATAAAATAATCCTTTATTAATCCCGCAGCGGGAACATTTACAGGATTACAGCAGCATGGTGGATAGTGCAAACGAGAGACATAGTAAAAACATTTGGAAAAGCTTTCACAATCCATGTTCAGACTGATAAAAAACAAATCTTCTAGCAGAGCTATTAAAACTTCAACTACAGCTAAAATATAGTATCGTGGACCTAAAATCATTTCAGTGACAGAGATACTGAAAGTCAGTTTGTCTTATAAACTAATACTTTGACTCAGTTCTCGAGAATATGGTTCTCCTTTCACATGTCAGCTGCAAACATAACTGAACTCAACATAGATGGTGTTCTATTAATACATACAAGAAACAAACTGGTTAGATGAAAAACAATGTGGCGATGCTTTAAACCCCATAGGGATTGCTTTCACAATGTATTTTCCAATTCACCAATGGACCATCAGGTCTACACCTGAATAACATTTTATTTTTACCAAAATCATGAGAACACATTTTAATGAACGCAGCCTGATCATATATCTGCAAAATGTTCACCTACAACATGAGACAAAAGCATGAAAATATAGAGCACAAACAGTCGGCAAGAGAAAGACACTCGGCTAAATATAGAAAACGGATTAAATATAAATTACATTCATTTTACAATAATAGCCATTCTGCAAATTGTACCGTAACTCAAGTGTGCTGCACTGATACGAGTTTACATGTCCAATCAGGTCATACACTGGATCTACAATTCCAAGTAAAAGTAAAGTGAGGTATGTGGTTCTTGGGATATGGGCGGCAGCATCAGATGAAAACAATACTTCCAGTAAAAAAAGCTTAATATATTTTATTTTACTGCACCCCAGTTTACACCTTGTCTTTCAAGAACAGTGTGAGTCTCTCCTCATGTTTCCTGTCCATCTCCATACATTTAAATCTAACTAAAGACAACTATAATATCTTAAACATTGTAAAGAAAAAAATAAGCAAAAAAAGAATACAATCGTAGTGACTCCTGTACGGGTCCCTGAGGGACGCCTTACGGAAAAGAAAGTAAACCTGTCTCTTACAAATAAAGTTTTGCCAAATGTGTTTTGCTGCCTGGATTATGTTTACTAGTAAAGGTTTTGCAAGTACATGATGTACCATTTTTTTCCGTACTGCATGGAAGTCAAGGGGAGGTCTTCGGGATTTGATGGTGGTTCTACAAAGCGCAGGACTTTGACAACGGAGAGGAAACCACTTTGGATAAGTTTGTGGTTTCAGTTAAATGTTGATAAAGTAAAAGCATTCTGTCTTCTGCTTCAAGTCACTGTTCTCCAAAAGAAAGTGAGGATTTCTACAGCACCACTCACTTTTTTTTTTTTTTTTACAATTTACCAGTTAATTAATGAATTAATTTCCTCAAACAGTGTCTCAACACATAAAGATAGGTTGGGGTTTCACCTTCATGTTGTTACAGAGAAAAGATAAGTCAATGTTTCGCAAAAAACTTTACAGTAACGTGTTGACACAAAGTGTTTTCCCACTGAAGATAACACACACGATTATACGTGCACATTAGATGTGATTACAGTGCTTATTATTTAAATAAATCCAAACCCCAAAGTAGGAAGAAACACTTGCATTATTACACAATTTGAATGTACTTCCTTTGTTGATTTATTCCCATGCAAAAAAATGAGACACCAATGTTGAACAACATTGATTCTAGTGAAACTGATACCAGCACATGTTGTGAAGAGCAACTTTCTCTTCCTCCACTTACAGTTCTACAGAAGTTGACCACAGTCGGACTGAGCTTTGGTCTCTCAATGACCCATTGTTTAATCTGAATGCTATCAGATTTATTTCTCTGGCTGACCTCATTACATCATCAGGGCCACAACTGTTCAGTCACACGTTGTGTGTACCAATGGAGCATTTAGTTACACTAAAGTTTCTGTTTCTTGTAAATCACTTGCTGGATGTTTGCCCTTATCTGTGGGCTGTATTTACTCTTTTGGACTTTCCCTGCTGAAGCATTTACGGGAAAGAAGCCAGAAATCTGGCAGGAATACAGACAGCAGTCCTCGTCGAGTGTTTTAAGAACGAGCGTGTCGTTGCATAGCATCCTGGAGCGACAGGAAAGGACATGTTTTACCTTCCCCAAAGGTGTCTTTGAAGACTTTGACCCAGGTAGTTTCAGGGGAGTTTCTTTCGCTCCTGTCATATTTTCCTCTGTGTGACCTTGATTTTAACTGCAACATAAAAGTCCTGCACCTCCATGATAGATAGATAGATAGATAGATAGATACTTTATTAGTCCCACAAGGGGAAATGTTTCCACTACAGCAGCATCTATACATACAGGTATGCAATAAAAATAGCACAGTAAAAAATATGAAATATAAAAAAGCACAATATATACAATAAAATAGAATAATATTAAATGAACTAACTAAACAATAGTGCAAAGATTTAACCAAACAAACAAACAGTGGAATAGAAAAAGACCAATCATGACTAGAAGTAGAAAGAACTCAAACATGTCTTTTTTGCAGAATAACAGTTAATTAAATCATTAAAAAGGAACAAAACGCAAGTTGAATTTCTTTGATAACTTATTTTACAAAAATTAGAAAACAGTGAAATCTATACATCCAACATTTTTCCAAGTTGCCACAAGTGTTACCAATGTTGGAAAAAAAGACAGGCTACTTCTGTGGTGGTCAAAGCCGTGTACAATATACAAACAAGGCCCGTTTATCTAGCTAACACAAATAGCATTGGTTATGTAGCGATGGGGATTCAGGACGTCTTGTCTCCTTACAACATTCAACATTTGTGAAGATCCATTGTGTTGTTAAGTTTCTATTCAACTCACAAAGCTAGCAAGAAAACGTTCACGTTAGCAAGCTAGGCTAACTAGCACCCAAAAGTGGAAGCTAGTTAGCCTAGCTTGCTAACATTAGCTCTGATTCCAACTAAAAGTTACTTTTTGTTCATGTTGTCTTGAGTCAGCCATTCTAGAAATTAATTAAAACCTTTTTACGCATTGTGTATGAAACATTTGTTTTTTTAATTACAGTTTGACTATAAAGAAATAAAAGTTCTCTCCTCCAGACCATCTACTCAAGCACTGTACGAGTTTGTGTTACTTCTGCACTTCAACTAATGAGACATTATGTCTTGTGCTCAACTATATTTCGGGGTAAAATATTGTACTTTATACTCTCTAGTTATAAGGTTTTACAAACAAAATAAACCATCAGTAGCCTATATGACATAGCTCTACCTGTATTTCGCTGTGGTTTGCTTAAAAAGGATCTCCGCAGCAGATCTCTTCCAACTATAGTTCTAAATAAATACTACTAATAGTTAGTGTATTTTTGGCTGATCTTTGGTGACGTAACGCTGCCCCACATGCATTGTGGGAAACTCCACAGGATGCTCTTGGACATCAAGACTCTTGTTCTTTGGCCTTGAGGACAATTTGTGGCTGTGAGCCCAGAGACACTGTCCGGTCAGGAGACGGTCAAATGAAGTTGGAAGGACTTCCTGTTATCGTTCAACAACAGCTTATTGTCATAGATGTTGGGCATTAATATCAACTCATCACTCACAATATGTGGAGAAAAGGAAACAACCCTAAAATGAGAATCAAGTTTTTACACCAAAATCAAGCTATTTTGGTTATTTTTTGGACAAACGAACACACAAACTTTCAAAACATAAACCTTAAACCTGACCTCAAATAAAAGAAATGATAAAGCACAATTAAAGCTGCATTTTCTGGGAAAATAGGTATACGCAGCCCTTAATATCAACTCAGTACCTCTTAAATCTACATCAATTCCTCAAACTTCCCTTTGACTGCTGACTACTGAGAATTGCCTACATGTTTGTCTTTACTCTGGTCTTTTAAAGTAATTTGTTTTAAGCTTTACAGTCTTTCAATGTCCATTTCAACTTTTAAAGTAAATAAATCTGCATCCTGTTGTAGCCTACTTCATGCATGTGGCTTCTGCTTCCCTGCGACTCCCAACAGACGGCTGTTGATGTGTCGGGCAATTCCCTAAATGGCAAAGTATCACAGGAGGGTTTGATAGATCTCAACACTGCAGCTGAAGAAAACACACACACGCATGTAGTCAAAACACCAGCTAATGCAGTAAACATCTTTAACCATGTATACGTCACATTTAGAAAGAAAACACATGCAAATGAAGAAATCAATCCTAGTTATCCATAAATGTGCAATTAATCAGGTCCTAACAACGTCATAACATGTTACGTACAATTGTGGGCGTTTATTTAACATGTTTTAATCCCTGGTTTGAACGTCTTTCAGGCTCTTGCCTTCTAAGAGGAGCGGTAATTGTTAAATAATCTATTTACTAGTTTCTGTCAAAGCAACTTCAAAGAAATGGTTGATGAATAAACAACG